ACAACATCGAGGTGTGTATGACAGCTGGACATACTGAAAACAGTAAGTACACTACAATCTGTAAGTATCGAGGTGTGTATGACAGCTGGGACATACAGAAAACAGTAAGTACATTAAACTCTGTCATTACCGATACAAAGATATATATATAGAACTATACTGAACACTATCAGCAACGAAATGTGCTTGACAGTTGGGACAGCGGAGATATACAGAAAAAATGGATCACGTTTTATGAGAAAGGTGTTATGGGATTATAAGTAGAAGTTTTATTTTTCAGCATAAATGCACAATTATAAAAAATGTAGTATGTGAAACATTTGTTAATGATATACTACACCTGTAATTTGTAATATAAATATAATGGTATGTCAAAAGTAGAAGTCGTATATGTTTATACACACCATGACCAATGTAACAATAGCGGTATTTCAATAGAATAGCTAGGTTTCATATTGACCTACATTTCTAAATAGCAGGTTTAAATATACCGTATATATACTGTGTGTTATAGAAGTATAGATTTTTAGAGACAACTGATATAAAAATTCCCTACACCCGAACTATTTAGTTTCAGCGATAAACCAATAGTGTTTTATGGGTGATTCTTGAAATATTTGTTTTAGTGACGTTGAAAATTAGATAAAACAACTATAATGTTGTATCGTCGCCATAAATTAACCTTGATAAGGTACACATTAACTCTCTTGCAGGGTTATTAGGTAATAAATCTGTGTTAAGCAAGCAAGGTGCAACATATCGGATTTTCATAGATTTCAATATTTATGTTTAGTCTTGTCATCTCTGTGAACCTAGCGTCACTTCTGATGCTTCTGTCGTTTCGGTCAGGATCTCATCTTTTCCCAATTTTATCCTCTTTTTGATAAGTTTAATATTTCCCGGGAGGGAGTTGAGGAGCAGGGATTTCTCGTTAAACGTCCCAGTGGAGCGAGGAAAACTAGACACGTAAGTGCACAAGGTAGGCCCATGTTCGCAAACAACTTCTCGTTAACAGACGATACAACCAAATGGTTATAAGGTTTAAACAAACAGGAAAGTGGAAACATATTTGCAGGTCGATGTTTGAGGGAAAGAAAGAGGTGTAATACATGTATGTTGTAATCTCTAAAAAATACATTGAAAGCCGTGTTATCTGCTTGGAACACAAAGGAATTAACATCTGGACACCTATTTAAGTATAATGGGTAAGGACTGCTTAGTCTTTGTCAGTATAATGTGACAGAGTGGATGACGGTAAATACTGGTTAGTCTTTGTCAGTATAATGTGACAGGGTGGATGACGGTAAAGACTGGTTAGTCTGTTGTCAGTATAATGTGACGTGGTGGGTAAGGGTGAGGACTGGTTAGTCTGTTGTCAGTATAATGTGACAGGGTGGATGACGGTAAAGACTGGTTAGTCTTTGTCAGTATAATGTGACAGGGTGGATGACGGTAAAGACTGGTTAGTCTGTTGTCAGTATAATGTGACGTGGTGGGTAAGGGTAAGGACTGCTTAGTCTTTGTCAGTATAATGTGACAGGGTGGATGACGGTAAAGACTGGTTAGTCTTTGTCAGTATAATGTGACAGGGTGGATGACGGTAAAGACTGGTTAGTCTGTTGTCAGTATAATGTGACGTGGTGGGTAAGGGTGAGGACTGGTTAGTCTGTTGTCAGTATAATGTGACGTGGTGGGTGACGGTAAAGACTGGTTAGTCTGTTGTCAGTATAATGTGACAGGGTGGATGACGGTAAAGACTGGTTAGTCTTTGTCAGTATAATGTGACAGGGTTGATGACGGTAAAGACTGGTTAGTCTTTGTCAGTATAATGTGACAGGGTGGATGACGATAAAGACTGGTTAGTCTGTTGTCAGTATAATGTGACAGGGTGGATGACGGTAAAGACTGGTTAGTCTGTTGTCAGTATAATGTGACTGGTTGGGTAAGGGTAAGGACTTGTTAATATGTTGTCAGTATAATGTGACTGGTTGGGTAAGGGTAAGGACTGGTTAGTCTGTTGTCAATTTAATGAGACGTTTTGGGTAAGGGTAAGGACTGGTTAGTGTGTTGTCAGTATAACGTGACTGGTTGGGTAAGGGTAAGGACTGGTTAATCTGTTGTCAATATAATGTGACAGGGTGGGTGACGGTAAAGACTGGTTAATCTGTTGTCAGTTTAATGTTACCGGAAGGGTGAGGGTAAGGACTTGTTAATATGTTGTTAGTATAATGTGACTGGTTGGGTAAGGGTAAGGACTGGTTAGTCTATTGTCAATTTAATGTGACGTTTTGGGTAAGGGTAAGGACTGGTTAGTGTGTTGTCAGTATAACGTGACTGGTTGGGTAAGGGTAAGGACTGGTTAATCTGTTGTCAATATAATGTGACAGGGTGGGTGACGGTAAAGACTGGTTAATCTGTTGTCAGATAATGTTACCGGAAGGGTGAGGGTAAGGACTGGTTAATATGTTGTTAGTATAATGTGACGTGGTGGGTAAGGGTGAGGACTGGTTAGTCTGTTGTCAGTATAATGTGACGTGGTAGGTGACGGTAAAGACTGGTTAGTCTGTTGTCAGTATAATGTGACTGGTTGGGTAAGGGTGAGGATTAGTTAATATGTTGTCAGTATAATGTGACGTGGTGGATGAGGGTAAGGACTGGTTTGTCTGTTGTCAGTATAATGTGACGTGGTCGGTGAGGGACAGGACTTCTTAGTCTTTGTCAGTATAATGTGACAGGGTGGGCGAGGGTAAGGACTGGTTAGTCTGTTGTCAGTATAGTGTGACAGGGTGGGTGACAGTAAGGGCTGGTTAGCCTGTTGTCAGTATAATGTGACAGGGTGTGTGACGGTAAAGACTGGTTAGTCTGTTATCAGTATGGTGTGACAGGGTGGGTGATGGTAAAGACTGGTTAGTCTGTTGTCAGTATAATGTTACGAGGTGGGTGAGGGTAAGGACGGGTTAGTCTGTTGTCAGTATAATGTGACGTCATGGATAAGGGTAAGGACTGGTTAGTCTGTTGTCAGTATTATAATACAAGGCGGATGGCGGTAGATATCACCATATCATTATATGGCAAGGTGGCTGCATGATAAGTATAACAATGTTAACGTGAATCTATTTTCCTTTAGAAAAAGGTCATAATGACCTTTTTGGGATGAATGTCCTAGATAATGTTCACGGTACGCTGATCATTCTGGAATTTCAGAAAAATGATATGTCACACTGACGGGTTTCACAGAAATCAAATTCCGGTCGGACACGTAGCTGTGTCAGCGAGTTACATGTATGCTGCTGTTTCAGTAAGACTAGTAATATGTAGACGCTTTTTAAAATTGTCGAAATCGCTGCCATCAGATATATACACCGCAACAACTATCGGGAGATATTGACTCCCCTATCCAGTCCGCCCCTTTTATGATCCTCCCGGAATGGTGATATACATGTATATATAGTGTTTAAGTACGGACTGGCAGCTATAAGGTAGATTTTCTCCAAGCTTTTTATCAAAAGAACATATTTTTCTTTAATATTGTAATGCCGATATCCCTTGTATCAGCGTCAGATCGCCTGAGTGTAGCGGAGGTGTGGAAGGGGGTTCATGTTACAAGGTAAATACTCCTGAATTTATCTGTTTATTTGTGAACCTTTCATTTAACATTTTTCTTCTTCTTCTTAATATTTGGTCTAAAGCCTTGGGCGTGTTTGAATTCAATCTCGTTTCTCTTTTAAATATAGCAAAGGGATTTTTGCTGACACAAGCTACAGGGTATGGAAGGAAAAGGCAACAGTATGCGTTTCTGGGGTAAAGGGAATGCGTACAAGCATTCATACAAACAATATTTTAATAATATATTTATATTTGTATGTACTATTAACAAAAAATGGCAATACATGTAATTTTTTTTTACCTTAGCATAATGTTTTGCCAGAGAATCATAAAAGGACAGCAAATTTTTACCCAGGGGAATTTTCTGTTCTTCATTTCAGGGGATATAATGCAATATAAAAAGACTTTAATTCTTAAAATGTCCCTTCTTCATATCATAAAAACTGGTCTATAGATTTCAACATTTTCTTCTTTTGCTTTGAAACGAACTTCATCTCAACATATGAAGATTTGTAATTGTTTCTTGCTTTAGACCACTTTCAAAGCTTACTTTACAACTGTTTGCTTACTACAGGTAAATGGTGAACTACAGATGATGGTATAGCATTTAAGCATAACATTTTGAGCAGCTGAAGCTTGTGTCATATGTGGTTAAAATTAGGAGAAAATCTCTCAATGTGAGATTGATGTCCGGGGACATCTTACGAAAACTTATGTATGAATATTTAAGATACAGTGTAGCAATAGTCACAGGTTATGCGTGTATAACAAATGTTCTCCATAACTAGATTACATATACAGCTATAAACGGAAACCGATAGGTTTACGCGGACCGCTTTACTGATCGTAAGCCAAGATCTATTCACTGAGAAGACTTTGCTCAAAGGGAGAAATCCATTTTTCCCTTAAGCAACGCAAGTTTTTTTTTAAAAAAAAAAAAAAGGTTTATCAAACGGCAAGCAGGATGTGTATTTTTTCTGTCTGTTATTTCCGTGTGTACATCTACGAACTACTATCTAAAGGATCATCTACGGATGTTTAGAACCCTAAGATTTTGCTGATGTTGCCGATATTACCGGTATAGCCGCTGGAAGGAACGTAACTTAAATGGCAATGTAATTAACCAAATCATCGAAGTAAAGGTAACTTCTGCCGCGGCAATCTTGACGTTGTCGTTGATGACGAAATCGACTCACCGTTGTAAGGGCGGGAAAGTGTGGCAGCTGAACATGGCAGATCGGAAAATTTTAAAAAGAAAGAAAGAAAGAAACATCAGTATGTTCAAAATGTGTCGATGAATTCCGTTAAACATTTTTCTATACAACATCTTACTTTTATCACCAGGTATTCCTGTTCACGAAGCGTTCAGTGGGGATCTATTCTGAAAACACACCATGTCGGAGGAGGATACAACGAATGGCGGTATGTATACATTGGAACTGTCACGTTTTGCTGATGTTTATTTGTCGTTTTTATCTGTTCGTAGAGCAAAAATACTTTCATTTAAAAAAAAAATACTCTCTAGAATTGAAGACAAAATCAATAAAACAAGATATATGATTTCCACAACCGTGCCGATTGTATTTTCGGAAAGGATCGATATATTGGATATTGGAGGAGATTCTATCGTCTATTGTTGCTTCTGAGACAATGAAACTGATTTGGTAGAATTTGGCAGACTTGAAGACTGAAAAAGTGATTGAATATAGTGTATGATATACATGTAATATAGAGGATATTTAGGAAAATAAGTATTTCTTATAACAAAACCAGTAGAAGATAAGAGTGTGATGTTTCGATGATTACACGGCCACCTTCATCAGACAAATGATAATATAGAGGATATTACTTGTTTCATGATACCAATTGTATTTCATCGAAGGGTTGAAATATGATATTATGAGAGTACGATACAAATTTTCACATAAAGAGATGAAATATGTCTGATAATCATCAGGAAACAAGGAATATTCTATTTATTACACTTTTCCACATATTCATCGGTGCCAGGTTAAATTCATCGCTTTTTCTATAACTGAAATGCTTGCTTTTCTATAACTGAAATGCTTGCTATATATTAAGACACCATTGGATATATTGATTCATTTATAATCTATGATACAGATCGGCAAACTAATTAACGCCAAGGAAGTATCTTCAACGTACGAAATACTCAAACGATTAAATTCATATTTGACAAGGGTGAGTGCAGTAAAGTGGGTTTCCTGCCATGACACAGGACTATCTTTACACGAGTTGTCGTCAATTAAGTTCGCAACGCATTCTGGGGGAAATATTATCACTGCAAATGCTGTAATCTGGTTATTCAATGAAGAATGAAACTAACATTTTTTCACCGTAAAACCTTATGTTTCACTGCGAAAAATGTTTTAAAAAGTCAAACCGTGAAAAAGGCTATAAGCATGGGGTATTTCAAGATAGATGATGTTCTCACGTCTGTTTTCTGTAATCATAGACAACCTTTTATATCTCGTGAATTAAAAGTGGTCACCTTAATGGAGACAGACATTCTCTGTTTCACTTAGCAGATGATACTTCCCTACTTTCTAGATCTGTATGCAGGGCTTTTTTTTTAGAAAATAATGCAAACAAATTGCGCTTTATTGATTATAAACATAGAACCAAAATATCATTTGTAAATAACACTACAAAAATGTTATTTTCTCGAACCTAAGATATGATGGTGTGCCTGTTACAGTTTCAACTGCAGCGGATCAGAAGGAAAACGGAGATGATACAAACGTCACGGTTATTCCTGAAAATCAAGCTGAAGATAAAAAACAACAAAATGGCGACACTACCAAACAGAATGGTGACACTTCGAAAAAGAATGGCGACAGTTCCAGTTCCGATGGAGAGAAACCAGAAGACGAAAAGGAAAAAGACACGCCGTCCGTTGGAGTCTTTGAAGTGGTATGTAAGGTTATAGTCTATATACACCTATTGCATTGCTCTTGCGAAACATGGTACAGGCTTCACTGAACTAACGCATGCTTAGTCTATCGTATTGATCTGGCTATCTTTGAAATCAATGCAGTACACACTATCGACTTACTGTAATATAGAGGTTATTTATTTTACAACAAATGCGAGACAAGATTTAAGCTCATATTGATTACCATTGTTGGCCCGGATGGAAGCGAGCGAGGGGCTCTTACAGTGGAAAGAAACCGGAGTGCCCGGGGGAGGGGGTTAGGTTGTTGGTGTTGAACCCACGTGGTCGGGTAGGTGACTCCATACCTTATCACGTCCGCCCCGGATAAAGTGTCAAAAATGGTAGATAGTATTTCACAACTCTCTCTCGAGGAAAGTATATGTCAATATATCAAGCACTCAAGTGTTATTTACCTAGTGGTGTTTGTCCTTTCTCTGTGAGGCGGTATACTCGCCTTTAAATCATTGATCATATATCATTCACGAAAACCAAATATTAATGCTGAAGAAATGTATATGGTTGATAAAAAACATTTCTATATCCCATTTTATTTTTGACCGAATATATTGAGGGACCGTCCATAACGAACATAACCCTAACCCGTTTCCAACCATTGACGAACATCTGAAAACTAATTTGAATCCATTCGATATGTACCACAACGCTTGATTGCTATATGAAAATAATACACGACAATATAAATATGATATACCTTCCACAAATATCTTAGCTATGGCTTTTTATTAGTTATAATTCATTAGCTCGCTAATTGTTTTCTTCTCCTTCGTAGTAATGCATTCTTGTAAAAAGCTGGTACCTATAAAAAATACTTCGGTTTACTCTGCTTGAGACCCAAACTATATACTATAAAAGTAACAGCTAATAAAATAATTTCAGACAAGAAAAATATTCAAAAAGTGAAAAAGAACAACATAAAATTTCCTGGTTTCAGTTCAAATTTGCGGACAAGTGGGATGTGATAATGATGATAGTCGGTGTTATTGGCGCTACCGCTCACGGTCTTGCACTGCCTGGTCTTATCATCGTGTTTGGTGAAATGACCGATTCCTTTGTGGACTCTGGGAAATACTCCAGTATCCTGACGGAGATAGCTGCTTTTCTCACCGGGGTTGGAATCACTCGTGACGAGGCACTGAAGGCACCTTCCCTGCTGCTGTAGGTATTTGGAAAATGCTCTAGTTCTATGATTTATATTATGTTCGCCTTTTGATGTCCGAATCTTCTCTAGAATTTTGTATCTACCTGTTACGGTTAGAGTAAGAGATTTATACTTTTGCCCTGTGGCAAAGGAAAGTTTCAGACCTTAAAAGAGATATAAAAACAATATTGCATATCTTTAGTTTCGAAGTTCCATACCCTTTTCAGAAAAAAAAATGAAATACTACATATTTTTTTTTACTTTTCAGTTCCTATTGACAAGACAGGCATACCTTCTGTTTCACATTGCAGCTTCTACTAAACAAATATATGCTACATATTTCCACTGTTTTCAGACCCTACTTAACTGATATACAGACAAACTATTCTACGGTAGACACATCCATCATACAGAAGCAGGTTGACAACGACTTCCTGAAACAAATGGAAACATTTGCCATTTATTATATTGGTGAGTACAATCGGACGTCTATTACGGCGAGAGTTCATGTTACCTTATTTGGCGTAATCATTTTTTTTTTCGCATGATCACATTTTAACAAAATAACGCATTGACTAATTATCGCATCCACTTTGTTTGTTATTAATAAATAACGTTCAAAACTTGCAATAAGCGCTATCATATTCCAGCGAAATCTATTCAGGACGGAAAGCGTTAGAATAACTTGATTCGAAAAATTGGTGTTTCACATAAATATCGAAAAAGTTAAGATACATCAAATGTATCTAAACATAAATAATTAATCTAGGACGATTTGTCATATAAACGTACACACACTGGTTTGATTTCATCATCACTATCACCACACATATTTTTACGGAGCACCTAAAATGCATTTTTAATGTATTGCATGGCAGTTTTTGCGATATTTCTCCGCAGTTTTGATATCTAATCAAGCCGGACAATCCTTGTGGTGTTTTATTATGTTTTTTGTTTGAATATATTTACTATATTGGTTTCTTTCAATATCTAGTCTCTGATTTCATATTTAATCAAACCACTATATTTCAATCTTCAGGCATTGCCGGTGGTGTTTTGGTATGTGCTTACTTTCAAGTAGCATTCTGGATTCTCTCATCCGAACGTCAGATCCACAGAATAAGAAAACTTTTCTTCCGGAACATCATGCGACAGGATATAGGCTGGTTTGACACACACGAGACAGGAGAACTTAACACAAGACTCACCGAGTAAGTTTGGGTCACACATGAATGGAGTTAACATTCCTGTATCATATTTGAAGCATGCTCGATAGCCGGTTAGGCTCTGTTGTTATTTGGTGTAATTGATAAGAAACTTGTTGTGTAACGTTTTGGTGTCGGTATCACCTATGACCAGTGTAGGTAATTTCTATAGTCTGTGATGGTTACGTCTGTGGCCGGTATTGGTCATGTCTGTGGCCAAAATTAGTAACGTCTGTGGCCTGCGTTGGTAACCTCTGTGTTTTAGATTAATTGGCTTTGTCCATAAACGTTAACGTTTCTGTAACGGTAACAATAAAAAAAACGATGGAGTTATGGAAGGAATTTAACTCTATTTCCAAAACATTTATATTGGCAGGTGATACATTTATTGATGATAACGTCACAAAGGTTTTCTTTTCGTACCTACAACGATATACATACCTTTTTGTATCGTATATACAGTTTATTCGTGCGTCCATAATGGTTTGAGATAACGACCTGAAACATTATTCATGGTAGTTGGATGGTGCAGTTTTAACGCACTCGTCATTCACAATGGCAACGCGGAATTTCCTCGGGTATTCCGTTTTTTTCTCACATTCAAACCCCTCGCGCGATCCGTATGTTGGAAAGCTTGATTCGTAGTTGATACAGAATGAAGTCTTACTATCGTTTTACAACTCTGGCAATCCGTATTGATATGAATGTTGCTATATCTTTTTTAATATTTTATACAGATTTATTCATTTATTCTTATTTTTGTCCAATATTTTGACAGACGACGGTTTCGCGAAATAAAGACAATTACCATTAGTATCTCACATTGTATAACTTTGACTACATGTCATACCATTGCTACAATGATTTCATAGAAAAAACACCATTCACCTTGAGATTATATTTCTGTTTTGGTTTTGCTCAAAAGTCGTGTACATGTTGTTCACATGTTGATGTTTTACTTGCAGTGACATCAATCAGGTCCATGAGGGCATAGGTGATAAAGTCAGCACGTTCGTCCAGTGGTTCTCATCCGCCATTTCCAGCTTTATCATAGGATTCGTGTACGGGTGGCAGCTCACACTAGTCATGTTGTCAGTAGCGCCTCTCCTTGCCGTAGCAGCGGGCGCCATGTCCCAGGTGACTCCTTGCCTTTCATCTGTTGTTAACAATAAAAACACTCTCATAGTTGTAAATCAAATGAAAGGTTTATGCACGATTGGTAATCGTTCATTTATAGTTCCGATGTCCGATGAAATATCAAAAGTACACTACAAGTTTTAAGGAGACGTGTAGTGTGTACGATAATATCCCCACGGTTTTCCCAGACATTACGATCTTTGTTGAAGACTTTCTATATCGTCAATATATACATAACCTTTCTAACGGCACGTGTTGATTTGATTATTAACGTTAATGTAACATTGCAACTGTCTACAACAAAATATTGCACGTGTGCCATAACACAAATATGAAACAAATGTCATTGTTGTAGTTGTGTATTGATGGATAATGACAATGATGTAAAAATTAACGTATATCAAACAGATCATGGCGTCCATGTCCTCCAAAGAGCTCACTGCCTACGCTAAGGCGGGTTCGGTGGCTGAAGAGGTTCTCAGCTCTATTAGAACTGTGGTGGCGTTTGGAGGTGAACGTAAAGAGTGTAAGAGGTGGGTTATACACGACACTATAAATAAAGCATTATTTAAAAAAGTAATATACATTGTACAGATGGTTCCTTACCATATAGGTTAACTGTACATTAAACGTACGTGGTCACACTATGTTAACAACTTCATGTATTCGTTACGTGTTGATTAACGTGTCGATTTCACCATACAAGAGTAAGAAACACACATTAGTCTATCAATACAATTACGCATTTCCATTTTCTATCTATTTATTTGTGATATGTGTTCTCGATTATGGTTCAAATGATGTATTTAGAATATGATATATGTAAACACTATTATCTTTTGAACATGACTGTATCACTTAAGGTAAAGTATTCTAATATATGTGACACATGGGCACAATGTATACCTTCCGACAAACAAAGTAGATACTACTGGTTACAATATTGAAATAAAGACGTGTCATGATATTCAACACGTGGTCATATGCAGTGTATAAGTACTGCAGATATCTATCTATTCGACATTCACAACAATAACCTCATTTTACCTAGACATTTAGGCCTTTATAATGCATTCGGGTTTAGTATTTTATCAACAGTGCCATTAACGGAGAGGAAGATATTTGAACAATTGTATTTATGTCCATGTATCTTTAACACATTAATGATGTCAAAATATAGAGTGTTTAAGCTGAAAGGATACCTGTTGATACCACCCACCTTTGAATCGAAAGAGTTTTAACAGAATTGACTGTAGAGATAATATCAACTTTTGGATGTTACTGTATAATGAAATGAAAACATAACGTGTTTTGATAATAACATTGGTAACATTAACCACATTAACAGGTACGATGACCACTTAAAGGAAGCCCGTGACATAGGAGTGAAGAAATCCTTAACTAACGGCTTGTCGTTCGGTGTGACGTACATGTTGATTTTTCTCACGGACTGTCTGGGGTTCTGGTACGGAGCAAAGCTGACAAGAGATCAACCTGATCTTTATACCCCAGGAAAAATACTCATTGTAAGTAGGAACGGACACATTCCTAACAAAACATTCCCATATAGTGCTGTGTTTATCCTTATTATCGAAACAAGAAATAAGCCACGTCCGTTTTGTGAGCGGTCTCAAGACATAATAATGGACGATAAACACCAAATGTCCATTGCATTGGCCCTATTTTTAGCTTTAGCTTTAGGACTATGTATTTGCACGGCAGATTACAAGTTGGCAGTCAGCGTGTAGTGGATGAAAATGGAAGTTTTATTTACATAGAAGATTTAGATTTTTTTTTATTTCACCGAAACTGTAACGAGATGCAATGAGAACTTCATAACGAGTTTAAGGAAAAGGATGATTCTTTTTTATCACATAATTTAATTACATTTGGAAACATTTGTGAAGTTGCATTAATTAGACTAATATAAAATCTAAACACACAATACTTTCTCTCTAATGCTTTCTTTCTTGACGTCACAATACATATGATGTCAAAGAGATGTCAATCACTGCTCCGCTAAGTCATATTACGCATGTGTAAAAAGATACATAGTATAGCATGGGTATTATTGCACTGATAACGAGGTAATTGTTACATAATTGTTCTTATTAGTAATTCCGACCCAAAGTTGGAAAATGTGCTGTTGTAGACAGAGCTGTTTTAAATGAGTGTCTTTTTTTACGTTCCATTCTGATTTTCAAGTCTCCAACGTAACTCGTTTAGGAATCCCTTACTTATTACTCCAGAACTTTGATATCAATACACTACCCTGGAATAGATCATAGATATGTACATGTACCGGGTTGAGCAATCCTTCAGGCTATATTTCACACACTCCAACATCCTTTATCTTACAAATTCAATACTAGCCCTATATTTGGAACAGGGATAATGAAAGTTCAGCAGGTACGCAATGGATGTACCATATCGATACAACACGAGTAGGCTGTCATATACCTCGTTCTGATTGTGTCGATATATGGCTGTAATAAATATTTCATACGAATAAATCAAACGCTACAATCGATGAAAGAACTCCTACAGTGAAATGAAATATTAGAGTACATAAGTGGTTTTTCCTTGGCCTATTTTTGAGGCATAGATTTCAATAGCCTGTAAGAGTTATGAGGAAAAGTGATTGGAATTATGATTCGGCATCTCATGAATGAACTTGAAATGTCTGATGACGTGATCAGAATATGGACAGGTTATACTGTATCAGTAAAAATGTTTGTGACCTGCCTTCTTTAGTAAGAATATGAATACACATTTGAAGTATCACAATTACACATTACGTACATGGATGGCAATTAAAGGCATTCTAACATGAAGTAATGTGCAAATTGTTAACACAAATGACTAACTAGCTAGCTAAAGAACATTTCATACCACAGACAAAGTGTTTTCTTAATGCGATGACGAAGAAAAACTTCTATCCATTTAGCTAAAATATCAAGCCATGTTGAACTATAGCAGCTGCGCATTTTTACTCGTAGAAGGGAAACTGAGTCTTCAGATATTGGTTATCTAACGTTGGTTATTCATCCGAAATGATTTGTTCCAATCTAACAATACCTCTATCACCAACAAAAATGTGTAAAAATTATTGGATATTTTTACGCGGATGTTGTGATATTTCCTTAGCTATATATGTCTGCTGCGTGACCATGTTGGTTGAGTTCATTTGTGTATAAACTACTTTCGTCTATTACGCCGATAGACATGTATTCCTGTCAATAGATTATTTAAACCGGGTGGATGTCACGTCATAAATACTATATTGTGAAGGTTGTATTCTTGAAAATATCTTCGGCCTACTCCAGAAATAATCTAATCACAGCTGACATTAGCTGCTCTGTAAATCTCTATTTGTCATTTTGATTTTTCATTTCCTGGTCGTCAGCTGACTTTATCATCCCTTTGCATATTGTCAATAGTAAAGAGGAAATGTGCAAAGGACACACAAGTTTTCATTGTACAATGCAAAGTAAGAAGTATACACAATATAACTAAAATTGATTGTATCATACAGTTTGTTTGCCCTTCTATGTCTCGGCATTGACAATAGGATAACATTGGTTCTTTCAGGTCTTTTTTAGCATCGTTATCGGTGCCTTTGCATTGGGTAATGCCATGCCAAACCTACAGTCAATGGCAACTGGAAGAGGAGCAGCATACATGATATACAATCTTATAGCATTAGTAAGTATTTTCTAGTTGAGCTAGTAATGTAAATATATATATTAGATTCACGTGTTACCAGAAACATGATAGTGAAGTTAGTAAATACAAGCAACGATACGAGTATGGATGCTAATATGGAAGGCCATGGTGGTATATTTGAATGTTTGTTATTACAAATATCTACATAATAAAAACATAATATGAAAAAAAAATAATCAAAGTTAACACATTACGCTATTCAACAAATCTGATTCTTCAATCCCTCTCTGCAATGACGTAGCATCCTCAAAAAATAAGGAAAACAACAGACTTTTGCTATAGTTTGGTTTATCATAATCCGCAACGAAGTTCTGTCTGTCTGTCTGACTTTAGACATAATTTGTAGCATCTTCTTCCCTCTGGATTATGCATGGATTTCGATGAAATCCTGTACACGTTAGACGTGACGTTCTCTTATGTTTGCCTGAACAGCAATAGGTTCCGTGAATTTTTACAGTTACAAAGTTATAGTCCTTGGCGCTTCTTAGTGAAACAGTCCTTTTGATATTGAAATTTGGTAATTTGTGTAAATGTATGCTAAATTTCTGAAAAACATGAAAGATCATTGAGTCAAAAGTAGGTATTTTATATGCAAAATAGTATCATGATGGCTAAATATTCCAACATGGAGAATACATCAGATAATTATAAACATTGATGCACGTTACATTGTGTGAAGCTTCTACTGTTAAGGTGCCAAACGTCAAAGGTCGCAGATAAATCGCAGTTTTGTATTGGCCTATGAAAGGATTTTGATGAAACGTTGCACAGGTTATACCTGACATGGTTTTGTGTCTCCCTAAATACCATTATGTTTTGTCAAGTGATAACCCTTAGCGTTTGTAATTGAAATAGTACTTGTGGCATTGTCTAGTTTACCTTAGAATGTTGACACGTTCGAGTATAGGTCAAAATACTTTCAAACGAGAAACTTGAATTCTTATATGACAGGTTCCAGCCATAGACAGTTCATCAGAGGAAGGCAAAAAACCGGACAGTATCGAGGGGACTATCAAGTTCCAGAAGGTGAAATTCCGGTATCCAGCACGTGAGGAAGTGGTTGTTCTCGATGGCCTGGACCTTACAGTAGACAAAGGTCAGACTTTGGCTTTGGTTGGATCTAGTGGCTGTGGCAAGAGTACTGTCGTACAGTTACTTCAGAGGTTTTACGATCCACAGGAGGGACAGGTATCCAAAACTTAGTCATATTGTTCAAAGTTAAATTGTACTTAATATGCAATTCATAACTGGCTTTTTATATATTTTTTCCTTTTCGAAATTCATTTTCTACCATTTTAATCAAACCTCGAAAAAAGTTCGTGTTTCAGCGTGCCAAGATCAACGTTAAGATCACCATTACTATCTATAGAAAATCTTATAGCAACTTCATTTCTCAACCGATTTTGAACAACCTTCATCTATTGGTCAAGCATCACAATACCGTAATCTAGTTAATGTTTCCATCAACGTCAATGTCACTGTTGCTATTATAGCTATATGTATTGCTTTATAAGAAATCATCTTTGCACAGAAGAATACAGGTATAACTCATTCACGTATTTCGGTATTTAGCCTATCAACTATATCTGCATTTATTATCTTATATATTTATCCTTTGCATTTTTCTTAATGGCACTTCACATTATTCCACTGAAACTTTCCGAATGTACTATATTGATAAGAAAATAATTTACAGGTGCGTTGATAATATATAGATACAGGTATATCAATTATCAGAGGACGAAGTTGCTACTGCGTGATTTAACTATGTTATGTGTTCACTACAAATTGAAGCGAAAGAATTTGAATCGTTTGCGATGCCTTGTTTATTTGAAAATCCTCACTTCTGTTTGAGTCTAAATAAGTTTGATACAATACGATCTCCTTGTAAATAACAATCAAATGAAATACTGTATTTACTTTTCTGTGGTTGCTTTCTATTTGTTCCGAGATATCGGTTCGCCTTACAAACACAATAGACGTATAACTTATGAAGACCCCGAACGAAAATATTCCTGTCAAATATATCTATGTGAGCGTTACATTGTTCTATAATGTAGATCCTGATCGATGGTATCGACATTAAGGAATTAAATGTACAATGGCTCCGACAACATATTGGAATAGTGAGTCAGGAGCCGATACTTTTCGCCACCTCCATAGCTGAAAACATCCGGTACGGACGGGATGGCGTCACCGATCGCGAAATTGAAGATGCTGCAAAGATGGCTAATGCTCACAATTTCATCATGGAACTCCCTGATGTAATTTTTTTATTTATCTGAAACCTTCTCACTCAGAAGTAGTCAATAATAGCACATCAAAAGTTTTTTTTAACAATTTAAACTTTAGAAATCCGAAAATCAAGTGCATTTAGTGAAGAATTGAATTTGAAGAGTGACCTTTCATTGTTTTAATGATAAAAGTTAAACAAGAGAAAGATTGGATTTTATATAGTAAATAGATTAGATCCAAGACATTTTAACATTGATGTGTGTAACTACGAATTAATCAAATATTTTATTTCACTAACATGGTTTTCGATATAGGGGGTATTACAAACTTAATTATCGTAATACCAAATGCGTCGAATATGACTTTTTTTTATCGCTGTACACGTCTCCGGTGTTTCAGAGATACAATACCTTGGTGGGGGAGCGAGGTGCACAGCTAAGTGGTGGTCAGAAGCAAAGAGTGGCAATCGCACGTGCTCTCGTAAGGGATCCACGCATTCTTCTTCTTGACGAAGCCACTTCGGCACTTGATACTGAGAGTGAGGCTGTTGTTCAGGAGGCTCTTGATAAGGTACGATAGTAATGATGAAACGACAAAGTGGCAATGGACAAATATAATTGTTTTATTATTTGTGTAGGTCAAAGGTAAATACGTGTACTTTGTTCAAATTTCAAAATATAAAATTTTGGTTGTGATATACAAAGATTAAGCAAAAATGCCATATTTTGTCAAAACCTCCAAAACAGGAGAGTAATATTTTAAAACTTTAAAACGATAGTTATTGCTGGATCTAGCAAGACCTAGATCAAGTAATTTATTTTGTGCCAGACTCGAGCTGACAGAAACATGATTATATAGCCCGTTCTATGTTTGATTTGTGCTAAACTCGAGCTGACAGAAGCACGATTATGCGGCTGTTTCTTTGATTTTTTGCAAGGCTCGCGATGGCGGATCAATAATTATGTAGCCCTTTTTACAGGACGACCATTATGTCTCTATGTTTATCTTGTTCCAGGCTTGAGCTTGCAGGACGACCATTATGTCTCTATGTTTATCTTGTTCCAGGCTCGAGCTTGCAGGACGACCATTATGTCTCTATGTTTATCTTGTTCTAGGCTCGAGCTGGTAGGACAACCATTATGTCCCCATGTTTATGTTGTTCTAGGCTCCAGCTGGCAGGTATACCATTATGTCTCTATGTTTATCTTGTTCAAGGCTCGAGCTGGCAGAACGACCATTGTGATTGCTCATCGTCTGTCAACTGTCAAAACAGCAGACAGCATCGCTGGCTTTAAAAATGGTGTCGTTGCTGAAAGGGGAACTCATGACCAGCTGATGCAGAAGGACGGTGTCTACAGTTCACTGGTCAAACTACAGGTATTGCATAATTGTACAAAAGACAGACAAGTGTATAACATTATAACATATTAAATCGAAGTTGTCAACACATTTCTCCTATTTATCTGATAAACAACTCCTTAATTATGTCTTTTTATCACGAAATTAAGCAACATCAGCTGATATGATTTTATTGTTATTTCATATGAGAAACAGTATATCATAGTACGTTCTTTGTTCAACGCTCTTTGCAACAAAATGTTTCATTTGTATTGTTCAACTTTCGGATAGGTATATTGTACATAACTCTATCGAATACCTCAAACCGGTGCTATGATTTATTCACTAAACCTCCCAAAGCTCGGGTATTCACCTTGATTTACCATACTGATGACTGTTAAGTATGTTTTACTCATTTGTTTAATATATGAAAACAGAGTTGATTTTTTTCTCAAAATAATTCCAGTAACATTACAGTGCTACTTGATTTTACTGGTTTTCCAGTGTCATCATTTTTTATTTACATTGATATTATCTGTTACTTTTGTTACAGACGAAACATGCAGAAAAAGGTAAAAACACTGTGTTGTTACAAACTTTCCATTTTCCCACTATTTAAAACATCTATTTGGTTCGAGGTAACTTTGACAATAATTTGTGTATTGTTGAATTGAAAATCGACGTTATTTCAACTTCACTGTTCACTTATATGTTAATGGGAGCAAATACTTATTTTCAAATCTTATTTCAATACAAATCATGTATTACGCCGTTTAACGTGTTTCTGGAGATCCACTCTTATGCACTTGATGCAGTATTGTATTCAAACGAAATCATTTAGTATCAGATTGGAAAGTAAACATTCTATAATCATTTACTTAATCATGAGAGATATCATGGTCTGGATGACTTACCGCCATCCAAACTGGACACTAGTCAACAGAATAACTTTAAGATATTTTCATTGAATTTATATTATGGAACAGTTTTATAATCATTACATAACGATGAGTAGCGATGTTCAGTATCAATATTTGAAAGGTGACCAGACGGAAAAGAATAAAGATAAAAAGGCTGAAATACAACATACATCGGGTGGAATTGACTCAACTGATGACAAGGATGCTGGTGATAAGAAAAAAGCAAGTATAACACTACGTTATTTGAGGGGGCTGGGGAGAGGTTGGGGTGGGGGAAAGAAACGTTTCTGACCAAACATTTTTAAGCTATACATATCAAAGGAAGGGAAATTTGATTGGATTGCTTGGTACCTCATGAAAGTTTTATAAGCTGCATGTCTGTCAGGAAACTTCACAACAGCAGTGGGATTTAAACATATGACAACTCATGATAAAACCTAGTTTTTAAAGAGTGCATAGCAATGAACTTCAAAACGACAGTTATTTTTAAGCATTTGACAAATTCATTTAATAAATAAATTATGAAGCACCGAGGCGTACACACCCTAAGATAAACCAAAGTATTATATATATAATCGTTGCAGGAGAAAGAAATTAAGGGGTCGTTTCGGAGAATCATGCGTATGAATGCCCCTGAATGGTATTACATTCTCATCGGCTGCATCGGAAGCATTATGTTTGGAGCTGTCCAACCGGCATTTGCCATAATCTTTGCTAGTATTCTTGACGTAAGTAGCCTTCTTAATATTCATCATGTGTTAATGGTGGTGTTTTGGTTTCCTCTATGTAACGACAACTTTTATTTCAAATCTAATTAATTATTGCAAAAACGTGAATATTTGCAGCCAGCTATTGATAGAAAATTAGTTGGATGTTAATATGTATAAACCCCAATATACGCATCATCTAGCAAATTTATGGTATTCAGCAAAATTTCTGAGAAAACTTCCACATGGTAATTATGCTAAGGTAAGATTAGAACATACTTAAGCCGAGTAGTACCTATTAACAAACACTTGTTGAGAAATCGAAATTGATAAAAGTGAGTCTCAATTACAATACAAACAGTGTTATATGAAGTTCAGAAGGCCGTCACGAAAACAAATCTGCATAAAATGATCAAGTAACAAAAATAAATAAATAAATAAACAAATAAAAAAAACAAAAAACCAAAAAAGAAGTGTGAACTATAACTGAACCTGTACCAATCAAACCACTAATTAGTAACCATAGAGAGGCATTTTAAAGGCATTTGACGGACTTCAATATCACTCAAACCTAAACCAAATCTATGTAGGCCTTTTCCCTTTCCACTTCTGGACATGTTACAGTCTGCTAGAGTTAAGATAAAGCAACAGTTGGCCCCGGAGCCGTCTTCAGAAACCATCATTATCAAACACACACTTGGTTCCATCCCACTGAGGGGGACGCAGGTCACCCCCTCACGTCGCCAGAACACTATTATTCGTCAGTGAGACGATACCTGGTAACGGGAAGAGACGTGGAGACGGAAACATGTCAATCAATCAATCAAGCTTTATATCAATACCCGTGCACGTCATCGTTTTCCTTGATATTTTTTTACTATATCGACATGATAGTTTATTCTTTGCGTATATTGATGCTTCAAGGTTTAACACGCGCGCCAATGAAATGTTGAACAGAATGCCAATGAATATATAAATGTTATATTATTAATAAAAAACGAGGCGTGTATATCTGCTTTACTCATTATTAGTTCAGTTAACATTGTAAAAATTCCTCGTACACTTCTGTGTAGGAAGAGGAAATTGAAATGTCACTTTCTATTTAGTGTTAATCATAGTAAAATGAAAATAGCGGATCATTTGTCATGCCTTATTGTCTATTCCTGATATCTGTTATGAAATATGTTCACAAAAAACTCAATTTAGATTCTACTTAAAGGTACCTCATGGTTTTTTTTTCGTAAAATATTGTAGGCATTTGCCTCAACAGATGAAGCATACCAAAGACAAGAAATCAACAGGTTCGTCATAATTCTGTCAGGGATTGCAGTGGGAAGTTTGATCGCTCTTACACTCCAAGTAAGTAGATTATTGTTAGATTCACTTGGTGAATGTCTAGTGTAGAAATTAAACGTCAACTTACAATCCGCAATTATGAAGTAAATATATAAACGCTTTAGTTGTAGTCTGTTTGTTCAATACAGGCAAGAATTTCTTTCTAAATCTGGAGAGGTATTGCCGAATAATAACATACGAAACAAAACTACTAGAGGTTTTTTTCACAATCTAGATATTTAAGTTTATATCAGTAATGAGGTTGCTTTAAACACACTCCATACGTAAACGATATAAAAAAAACTCATCAGTTTCATGTCTTCTCTGCTACATTGTCAATTCATTGCGGTTTTGGTCATTTTACAGGGATACATGTTTGGGAAGTCCGGTGAGATGTTGACATTGAGAATCCGAAGTTTGACCTTCAAGGCTATGCTGAGACAGGTATGCATTATATCTAGTAAATAGGATAGAATTTACATTCATTTTAACCTTTCATTCATTTCATTTCGACATTTTATTACATATTGCAAAATATTGGTTATGTAACGCAAGTTTTCATTGGATGAATTTCATGATCCGATATACTCGTGAATTCTGACGCTTGTCCAAAGATGGCGACCATCTTTCCTACTGAAGCAGATTATCGACATTGAAACTGGAGAAATTCAAGAAAATTATCATTACCAATACTCTCTTGTGTCATCGAAATGTGATGTGGAAAGTATGATGATGAAAATCATATTCTTATTTACTTTTCTAAGAACTGACTGTGATATATATATGTTAATATGTCTTGGTAATTGATAAGTTACACAAAAACAATCTGTGAATACATATTGCACTTTTGTTTTAGTTCCAAATAGATGGAACGAATACAAAACACTAAAAAACAGAACTGTTGACGCGACGACCTTTGAGGAAAGTATACTAGGAAGAAAAATAGTTCAGGGAAATGGAGAATAGGTGATTTAAGAATTCAGGTTATTGAAATAAATTTGTTGAGTGAGCTAGATATTGGGCAAAATACCGTGCGGTGTTCCTGAAACGATCACCGCTTTCCAATATCTTCAAACAGACACACAAAAAATGTCAGAAATTAGTCAGCCTATTAACAATCTTCAAAAACATGAAAAATTAATACAAATTTTTATTACTGCCCAGTTATATTTTTCGGATGTCATGTGGTCCTGACATATTCTTGGTGTTAATGCGAACCAAGACGGAATTTGTGTTCTCGAGCCAATAGGATTCTGTCGTCTGCAGACACCTCAAATGATTCCACATCTTTTCCGACAGTCTTGCAATTTTCAAAAAATCATGTTGTTAATAATTTGTCGACAGCAATCAACATACCTCATGGATGTTGTTGTGACTGGGAAAACCTCTTGAATGTCCAATTGTAATATCTAAAATTGGCCTTGTTATTGTATATACTGGCGGTGTTGTTTGTAGTAAAATTAATCTGTTTGATTATAGGAAATATCTTACTTCGACGATCATAAAAACAATACAGGAGCTTTAACCACAAGACTTGCCACAGAAGCATCTGATGTCAAAGGAGTAAGTTTAAACAGATTTCAGTCTACATCTTAATGAATATTGTAAATTTACCAGTCTATGCTCGTGTTGTAGGAAGGTAAGAGAAGGTATCAATTCATGATGAAAATAGTTGATGAATTAAGAATAAATTAAAACAATAAAATTAACGGCAAATGACATAACGGATATCTAGTATCACATGCAGTTACTCAACAATAACAAATTAGAACAAAATCTTTCTTTCGTGTTTAAAAGTGTTTCGCCTATAGTTTATTTCTATCATATTCCGTACCAACCACACCAATTGTCATGTCATTTTTAAAGATATTTTAATCGTTGTTATGCAGAGTAGTATATATCATTGCTAATGAAATATTATTAACCAACACCCCATCACTATGTGTGATTTAAATTTCTTGAAAAAATAGACTTCAAAATTATTTTACAGTTTGGACATGCTATCATAATTTTCAAAAAGTGTATTTAAGCAAATATTTATCTCATGTTTCAGGCATCAGGAGCACGAATGGGCAAACTCCTAGAAAATGTAGCTAATATGGGAACGGCCATAATTATATCATTTATATATGGCTGGAAACTCACGTTAGTCATCATAGCATTCATTCCAATCATAGCCGTAGGAGGTGCTTTAGAATTTCAGCTCCTTTCAGGAGTTGCTGGCAAAAACAAGGAGGCACTAGAGGGTGCTGGCAAAGTCGCGTCGGAAGGTATAGGGAATATACGAACAGTAGCAGGCTTAACGAAAGAGAAGACGTTTATCAGGTTGTACACCGAGAGTTTGAAGGCACCATACAAGGCTTCGAAAAGGAAGGCTCATATGATAGGAATAGCGTTTTCTTTTTCCCAGTCAATTGTATTCTTCCTGCATGCAGCAGCGTTCTACTACGGCGCCTATCTCGTGAGGCAGGGAGACATGGATTTTGATGACGTGTTCAAGTAAGGCAAGACATAAAAATAGTTGTAAAAGATTAAAAATTCGAACTGTATAGAAACTATGCACGATTTTATCATATAGTTTTAAATATTAATTTCCACAACCAAACAAATGTTCGTGACCATCAATTATCAATTTTCTTTTCTGTGATCTTGCTCCACAATAAGATGCACTTTCTTAATTTTATCTTATATATAATGTACTATTTTGTAAGACAAATAATCTTGTTATGATTATCGAGTTTGAAAAAACTAAGCCGGAATAATAGATATAATGCCGATCCTAAATGTTTATACAAAAAAGTATTTTTCTTTCATCAAAGTAATTTAACCTAGGAACTAGGTAGACTATTGATATACGGAAGGGAATACTTAAATGTAGACTGCTCATTATTAGTATCATGAATTATGCTGTGCGATTTAAACGTCATCCTGATATTTTACAGAGTATTCGCTGCTATCGTGTTTGGTGCCATGGCCATGGGAAATGCGAGCGCTTTTGCGCCTGATGCATCTAAGGCGGAAGTAGCTGCTGGGCACATTTTTGCTTTGTTAGACCGAAAACCGAGTATTGACTCCGAATCGGATGATGGCGTAAAACCCAATAATGTAAGTGAACTATATCTTTAGTATATATAATTAAACTTTCTATTCCATATCATGTTGCCAACATTAACTGCATTATCAACTCTAAGTATACTGCGAACTTAGCTAAGTATCAGAGGCATTTGTTATTCTTCGGGACGATTTGAAAAAACTTCAGCACGTTTGCCAAATTCTCCAATATTTTCGTTGATAAAAGATAAAACCTTTTACTATAATTATATTACAATCCTCTTGTCGGTTCACGTAATAGTCACTTCATTTCTTGTCACAATTTACTCTTGAGTGTGACCTAACATTGTGGAGACCATGTTTCTTAACGGTTTCTTCAGGTTTAATCTTATACATTGTATAAGGTGAATCACCCTGATCTTCTACTTGTTGTGTTATAAAGATCTTCTATTCTATTGGCATTACCAACCTGAAGAAAATGTTCCAAAAACACCAACAACAAAGAGAGATTCTTCTATCAAGTATAAGTAGCTTTCTGAAAATGTTTTGATATGTGGTAATATTGTGTTCTAGCTGTAATTTACACAGTTGAAAATCAATTTATTGAATATCTTTACCATTAGTCCTGTTGCTTGAATGCGATGACTATTGTGTATAAATCCCCTTTCTTCCGAGTTATGCAAGTATTAAAAGAAATTCAGTTCTTGTATATTCATTTATTTACTTATTTATTCAGTTTTTCATCGGAAATTATATCGTTTCCTACCTTGGCAATAACGGAACATGTGTCTTGTAGCAAAGGAATGAAGTTTCCATTTGATTGATGATTTCAAATACCATGAAAAGGATACACATTTGCCCTTGTTTTATTTTCAGGACAGTTTCAGCAGTAAGGTAACGTTTAAAAGCGTCGAGTTTCGTTATCCCACGCGACCAGATATACAGGTGCTTCAGGGACTTAACCTGTCGGTAGAGCCAGGTCAGACACTAGCTTTGGTAGGGACCAGTGGATGTGGCAAGAGTACTACAGTACAACTAATAGAGAGGTTCTACGACCCGGAGGACGGATCAGTGGTACGTTTGTCTTTCTAATGAAAATCCACAAGTAAGACAATGGCGATGATATTAGTGCACTGCATTATCTTAGTGTAAATTAGAACAAGAACGAAACAAAACTAATTATACCTCCTGATACTAATAATTGAAATAAGGTTGTATACATTTGTATGAAAAATAACCATTATATAATACTTTTGGTGTAACGTGGAAATGAATGGCTGTCTCTAAGATGCCATGTTGAAACAGCTTTCGATATCCACACATATTTTGATTTTGAATATTGGTCTAGGTACTGGATAGGCACGATGTGAAGGACCTGAATATTCACTGGTTACGATCCCAGATAGGAATCGTGTCCCAAGAACCAGTCCTGTTTGACTCTAGTATTGCCGAAAATATTGCGTACGGCGATAATGATCGTGTGGTGCCAATGTTGGAGATCATGGAGGCTGCTCGTAAATCCAACATCCATCAGTTCATCGAGGCTTTACCTGCGGTGTGTATACTATAAATAGAGGATCTTACACAAATGCCGATGTGGTATAGGGTTTATTAAAAGAGTTCTATGATCTGATATGTCTTGAACCTTCCAGTGAGTGTCATACAAAATTATCTAACGAGCTAGTTCCATCAGTTTTATCAGAAGCGTTTGTCTATACAATGATCCGTTGTCTTATTTTCTCCAGTTTACATCTACTTCTTTAAAAGTATTCATCTATAGAGTTTTTTATATTCTTAGTGATGTTGACCCACAGTTATAGTTACAGTCAGAGCATTTTAAGAATGGATTTAAAGAGGAATGTAACATATAACCGTCACCAATTACAGAACAATCAATAATTTCAAATTAGTTGACACGGTTTTTCTTCTATTCTACTGTTGAATATATTTATGTAATAATCAATATGTGATATAATTTGCAATCGCATTTACACTGTGTATTACAGAATATAAAGATCGATGACGCAATAACTAGGTATTCTTCAGTACATTTAATCAGCGAGTAAACGCCATGGCGAGAAACAAATATTTACTTCAGTGTCCCATCTTTTAAGCGATGTAATGTAAAACATCAAACGGACCTAATATGGAATTCATGGTCGTTATAATAACAGTTGCAAAACTGTCATTTATAGTGCTGATAAACTTCATCCTAAGGAAATACAATGATTACATTGTATACCTGCTGACGGGTAAGAAATAGGCTGAAGCAGGATTTGTATGACGTGTTTCCATGTCTATAACAATAACGTTATATTGGTCACGTACAGGGTGTCATTTGTCATACCGTAAATCACAGATCGTTCATCTTAGTTTAAATCGTAACATTGCCATGCAAACGTAAATATAACGAATAAATGACAGATGTATCACTTCTTACGATAAACTCGTACATTTCACGAAAATGTGTCCATTCACAAGACATTTTCTCAAAGCAAATATGAATATCATGGTCATCAGACATGTCCAGAACTGCATAGTTCATAATGAATTCTTGTTTATTTGGTTTTTCTAGCCCTTGTGTAAAACGTGTCTTTTAACAACACTGATATATTCTTATGTCCTTTTAGGTTTAGAGATTTTGCAACTTTATCTGTGTTGTTACTCATTGTTATCATTAACAGGGCTATGAAACAAACGTTGGATCTAAAGGAACGCAGCTTAGTGGAGGGCAGAAACAAAGAGTTGCTATTGCTCGGGCGCTCGTCAGAAATCCCAAGATATTGTTACTAGATGAAGCTACTTCAGCTTTGGATACGGAGAGTGAAAAGGTATACTATATATATAACAATAGATAAGTAAGATACTAAGATTCGTTATATTGTAATAAACACGTGTGAAGACCAAAGCAATCCGATAAACTGTGTAAGTGTAGGTTTACGATGGATAGTTCTGATTGTGAACAGAGCAAAGCTATATGTTAAATACATGTAAATAAAATATATAAATAATGTATTGGTGCACACGCATTATTCAAATACTTACCTATTTTCAGCACCGATACAACCCAGAATTAATTTATGTTAAATACAGGTTGTGCAAGAAGCACTGGACAAAGCAAGAGAAGGGAGAACGTGTATTGTAATCGCTCATCGATTGTCGACTATCCAAAATGCTGACAAAATCTGCGTTATAAAATCAGGAAAGGTTGTTGAAGAGGGTAAACATGGAGACCTCATGTCCAAGCAAGGAATCTACTTCAAACTGAATAGTGCCCAAGCTGGGAAAAGCTAAAGTAAACATTGTATCTACAATGTATCTACCACATATCTGCTGATCTGTGATATTGTAGTGTAAATCAGAATTAGTTAATTATCAAATTAGCAAATATTATGACATTTATTGCATTTTGCTTTGGTAGTGCGCCTCCCTATCTGGGTTTTGACGTTTTCCTGCCAACTTTAGTTTTCCGCAGTCGTTTGTTGGTTTTCAGGATTAAGTCTGTATGACGCATGCGCAGTTTCTTCATTACTTGTCCATAATTTGAAACGCATAAATCATTTGTCTATCGTGTGATCTGAGAATCTATCTCAGAAATGATATCCCCTTTCAAAACTAGAAAAAAATAATGGTTTTATATATCGTTGGCTATGCTGCTGACACTCCGTATCGTACTTAGTAAACAGAGTAGCGTTTGATCAGGGACGTATTATGCGTCCCTGGTTTGATTAATGTGTGAATTTTTCAGATATCGTGATGGTAACAATTAATATATTTTGTGCTACACAGAGTATGTTTATCTATAAGTCATTTTTGCTAACAATAAATTAAACATTTTTGTTGTCGCTTACAATTACAAGTACACATGAACTTGATCATCCATGGATTTCTACTATATATGTACTTTTTTCGGCGGGGGTGGTTTTTTGAAGAAATTGGATCGGTTTGGAATCTATTTTTTCTCACGTGGACCTGTCTTTACCCTGTATAACAATTAATCGAATATATAGAATGTGTATATAGGTACTGTACATATATATGCACATGATAAATGTATCAAAATATATTTATTTATGTGGTGATATGGAGAAAATAACATTTACTTCAACCAAAAATATGATTAGACTAAGTCACTAAGTCAGAGTCTTGCCGGTGTTAACCATACATTATAGTACAGAGAGGTATATAATACCCTGTATATGCATACAGGTTAAAGTGAAAATCCTTTTATCTTGTGAATAATTTAGTGAAATTTGATGGCTGAAATAATACAAATTTGAGATTTCCTTGTGATAATGTCCTTCGTGATGAATAGTAGTATATTTCTATACATCAATATGTTGTATCATTTTTTGTTGCACTTTTCGTTGTTTCGTATGAAAATGATGTGTCACAATCTTCCTCATTAAAAAGCCTTTGATAGTCTATATACAATTATATATAGTTTACTTACAACTATGCTATATACTAAGATAAAAAGGAAATTCTACAACACGAAGACTTTTGTGTGGAAATTTTCTACGTTTCGGCCTCTATGCGACCGTCATTAGGACAAAATCTTATTGTGAAAAAACATCTAAGGTATGAAAATGCGGTACATTAAACATTATGACGTCATAATAAAGCTGATGTACAACAACTATTATAGTTTAAATATTCTTATTCATAATCTAGAAGATCCCATACACACTATGTACACTGATTGTTCGGTTTTGAAAGGTGATCGGAAGTTCATCCTGTACATCTGTGGAATGGCTATAGAAGCTCTCATTCATGGATGATGTGTGGCATTCATTTACACATAGGTGGTCACTGTAGATGTTCAAGTTAGAGTTTCCATCTTCCGAGTCGGAGAAATATAAATCTTCTGCTAATGTGTTTATACAAATAGGTTCCCATATAATACGCTTCTGTGGGTTGGTGTTAGCTGATACTAAGCTAGAAGGGATAACAGGCTTCTATATGTTGTATGTAATTTTTACGAAAATTAAGCCTTAAGGTTTATTTCATAGTAATTCCCCTTCCTCGCCTTAATGTATTGTTCAATCTGTACAAAGTGTAATTGTCTTTCGTACGACACCTGTCCTAATATATATTAAACATCCATTTACCAGGATTAGGTACTTTCAATTTTATGCCATTTCCATTTGTCAACCATTCCAAAGATATCACAGGCAGATTTCTAGATAGAACTTCACATCTAATTGTCTTCTGTTTTGCGTTAAGTGCATTTTAATGGGTTTTGTTTTGAGATTTTGTTGTCATATTTCAAGTTATCATTTTCGTTTTTCTTGTTTTTCCCCAGTAAAGGAGATTGGCTAAACATGTATTATCCTTTTTAAGTAAAGTCTATTATTATTATTATTATATTTTAATCTAAAAATGATAAAGTTAAAAGGTATCTTATGAAGAAATACTCAAGTCCCTTCTATCTGCTTGTTGGTTCTAAGATTCACTTCCTGAAGAGTTATTCAGTTCCCTCCAGGATTATAACACATAAGCATTGTAATCAAACAGTCATCCCCTATGGTATCCATTACTTGACCATGTGCATATGAATATCTATAAATAAAAAGTCGACATGAATTTATTTATCAACGTAAAACACTTCCTTATTTTCAAACTTTTTCTTAACCACAATTGAGTCAGGGGTTATGAACTGTATTAGTACATCTTAGTGTTTCTTCTAAAGCTTAGCATAAAACGTTAGTCTTGTGCATGCTATTTTCACTAATGTTGTTTCAAGAAGGAAAAAACACTAAAGATAGGTGAAAATGATAAGTATATATTACTGTAATAAAACATACAGATTGTATTTACTTGTTTTTTTTTATATTCTATTAGACGAGCTATTACAAAGCACAATCAGTACTAATCATGCAGCAGATTCCACACACTTCCAAACAATAGTACTTGGCACAGCTTTTAAGTGTAACATGCCGAGTAAATCACAAAACCATAAAATATCTAAAACTGGAACCAAATCATATCTACAGTAAATGTTTTGTAGTTCTAGGCCCAGAAAAGGTCCCAAAACTAGACATTGTATGTACTTCTAAAGCCTGAGGAAGGTCCCAAATTAAAGAGCTTTTATGTAATTAAAACAAAGGTCATTTCATGTACAATTAGTTCTAAGCCTGGAACTAGTTCCTACATAAAATGTGTATTTTACAGGTCCCCAAAACTAAAATACATTCACTGTACAGTGTACATGTAGATTCTGTGGCAGATCCCATAACTGAAGTATATTTTATGTACTACCAGGCTCTGGGAAGGTTCTGAAACTTCAGTGCAAACAATGTACTTCCATACCTGGGGAAATTCCCGGAACTAAAATATATTTTATGTACCTCCAGGCCTGGGGAAGGTTCCAAAACTAAACAATACTATATTTATGTACTTCTAAACCTGAGAATGTTCACAAATTTGAAGTACATCTTAAGTAGTTCTATGCTGGATCATGAGACAGGTACCAAAACTGAAGTATATCTGATGTAGACCTAAGACCGAGACAGGTCTCAAAACTGGAGGACATTTTTGTAGGTCTATGTCTAATCATAAGGCTGATCCTAAACCTAAAGTATATTTCATGTAATTTTAATCCTTATGCAAGTTGGAACCAAATTCTACTGTTGATGTAAGCGTGAAGCAAGTCCCAGACGAAAGAAAACACATACATGTAGCTCATGGTTGATTGTGAAAGTCATACCTGAACACTACCATGATAGAACTTTTTATACAGAGGAATCAAATTCAATATTGATGTTCTGACCACAAGTGGACATACAGCTCAAGAAAAAGCCTTTTCTCAACACAACTTTCTGTTAAACAGTGACAATTTTTTTTTTTAATGCAGCATAGATTTTCACATCCTATAGTTATAACTACCTTGCCTGCTCTGCATGCTAAAGATTGTTTAGTCTCTTTAATATCATTTACTGGCTATGACAGTTAATCTGTGTTGCACACAAGTACCAACTTTGTAGCTGATATCAAAAACGTTTAATTACCATTGCTCTCAAATAAAAACATTTTTGTTCCAGGCAGCAGATATATACAACAATGTATGTTTCACTAGTAATAAAATACCTACAATATCTGTTTCGACAAAACATGCCCAAATCATTAAATTTAACAACATATTTTAATTACTGATTAAGAGACATTTTACAACTGTGTCCTTACAGTTGATTTTTGGCCCCTTTATCACACAATAACACATATTGTAGCACATGATGTAATGATTGAGTTTGTGGCATCAAATCACATAACAAGAGATGCTGGTTGCCACATCTATGAGAGATGTACGATATTACACCACGTTATGTAATCAAAACAAGTGGCATCATTTCAAGTAATGAAATATGTGGCACCATATCGCATAACAAATGTTTGGTACCAATGAGATGTGTGGCAGCAACTTACATATACAATGCATGTGGTGCCATTTGACATAATGTCTTATGTTTGGCACCAGTTTACATAGTGACGGATAAATTGAGCCACATGGTCATGAAATACTGATAACCAATGTGTGGCACTTTATTCTTCTTCTATCTCGCACAACACAACATAAATAAACATATTTTCTGTCTTCTCATTGATAGTAATACACAAATTAGTCCACATGGACATCAGCTGTTGTATCCCAGTAGTCCACAGCATTGTTTTCTGACTAGACTTGCTGGTCCTACACAAGGCTCCTATTTCTCAGCACACATTTCCTGTGTGAAAGTAGTTTCTTACCTACTCTTCTTGTGTTATAGACAATGTTTGAAATTTAATCATTTCTTCAACATCTATACACTACATCACGGAACAGGAGCGTTGGCTTTGCGCAGTGCTAGACATCCTGTTACCAGATCATTAGGCATCAATTTCAGACGAGAGTATTCTTCTGCTGTGGTATACCTCAGCTTAGTTTCTGGATCTCTATATAATGCCTGGAATTGGAATAATTCAGCGGTCTGTGAAAACCTTTAAACTCCAATGGAGAAATCATATTTGATATCCTTCAAAGAATGACTTCTCAGAAATTCAATAGGTTTATTGGATTAAATAAGCACCCCTTCATGCCATTTAATTATTTGATTCTCTCCAATGATGAAAGTCTTATAGTAGGCAGTACTTTCCTTTCTAAGTAGAATAATTGTACATCTTCTCCTGGATGTCTCAGTCATTACATTTTACAATTTTGCATCATGTTTCCAACTATCAAATAAGTCAAATGTATTTTTTTTGTCTTATTCTGATAAGAGTCACCTCTTTCTTGATTTTCTAAGAGCCCTTGGCATATGCAACATTACTACACTTTAAGTAATAATGAATGAAGCCTTTATCCAGTATAATCAACTTAGTTACCCAAAAAAGGAAAAGTAATAGAGTATATGACATGCATGTAATTTTTGCATAAAAAAGAAAGAGAAATTGTTAAATTGTTGAACATTTGTGTTAAGAATTTAAACAATACCTACATGAATCTGCCAAAACCAGATGTTTTAAATACTTAAAACGTCAAATATAAGTACTACGCTTTTAATAACATAGATTATATCTTCATAGATCTGATTCAAATCTTTCAAATCTAATTAAGCATCAAAATAATCAATTTTGAAGAAAAATTACTAGGTAACTAGATTTAAATTTATAGATAATATACTTACAGGTAGACCTGATATGTCAGAGTATTTCTTAGCTGGTTTAAAAGATGGAGGTGCCTCAATAGACCCATCTGAAAATAAAATTCATCTTGTGTAATAAATATATTGCCTCTCTTTTACTTCTATTTCAAATAAAAATATGAAAAAAAACTATGGAGACATATCTTAAATTTTACATCATAACAACTTCAACAATATAAATGGAGAACTCAAAGTTTTCTATTTGAAAACAGTCATCTTGTGTTGTTCTTTCTGTTACTGAATGGTAATTTTATTCCAGGACTGTAAAATGGAAACATTAATATTTCCTTTGACAGAGTCATGTATCAGGATAATTTTACTATGTATTAAAGTTTGTACCAGACATTGCTTGATACACATTTAGTTCTGGTATTCACTAGTTTATATCTAGAATGAGTGAACATTTGAAATCCAAACAGACACATACATCAAATGTTGTATTTCATGAATATATATTTCATTACCTCTTCCAATTCTCTTGAATTTTTATTGATATCAAAACAATTAACTTACATGTCACATCATCTGGTTTCCACGGTAACAACTTTTCAGCAGCAACAATTTGTTTTAAATTTTTCCAAACTCTTGTTCTTTTACTGGTGGCTGCTGTGCCTTTACTGGAATGCTGGATTAATTATAATAAAACAACCAATGAAATTTATTCACCTTTCAGATGACTTACATAGGTAAAATCAGAACTCAAACTGACATAACTGGACATCAGTAAACACCAAACCATACCACAGTGGGTTGTATATCTTACAAGTTCAAAAACTTTAAGACAATATTCTGAAATAACTCCATCTGCCATATATCAAAATAACAATATGAGACATTTGAAACATAGGATAAAAGTAACTTAACCAATACTTGTGTGTAAAATGTACACTGTGTATCTGTTCAGATTTTAATCTTTCTTCACCCTGAAAATATCAGTTCTCCTTATCCAATCTTTTAATAGCAGTACACTTGTATGATTGAATATTGCGCAATTGTGCATATCTTATCTGACAGTACATACAACAACATAGCAGAAAGGTACAAATGCATAATGAAATTGCATAATTCTAAAATTTGATTACAATAAGCAGATCAATATTACAGACTGAAGAAACAAAAGGCAGAAAAAGAATTAGTAGAAATTGAAACCCTACATATAGCAGTCTCAATATTGTCTGTGATTGGAGATTTGTTAAGTATATGCCATTCAAAATCAAAATTTGCCTTGGCTTTTGCCTTACTGAATTTCCTTGCTGAAATTTTCATACATGTAATGCACCTGTATGTGTGAACATGACCTGACAGAATAGATACTCTATTGGCATCAGAATTGTTTTATATTGTTTAACATCCTATCAACCTTTTTCAATGTCGTTTAAGGACATGTGAGGTCAGTTTTGTGTAAGCCCCCTTGTGAGAGTATGGAACTGAAGCCAAGTTTAAAGTGTTTCCACTGAGGGATACTGCCAAAGGCATCCAGTAGAACACCCAAACTGGCCACATTATGAAGAATCTTAAAGTGTCATCACTAAATGCTTCTGAAGAGTATAACTGTAATAGTAAATCCAGTCTTTATCATACATGCTGTAATATCCAAAATCATTACTTCAAACATATTCCAAAACTATCTATAAAGCAACTAGGGACCATGCCCAACTCACTAATGAAGGTCATGTTTTGGTACCATCACCTTTTCAGCGGGATAGCAATAAAGATATTATTGACATTGATAAAAAAATGTCTCTTGTCTTCATTGATTTACCAACATGTACTATCAGCTTGGTGAGGTCTCTACATTGATTAGGAGAACACATAATTGTATAACACACACATATTGATGACCAAACTCTGTTTATGTTTAAAAGGATTTCAGTCGTTCCCTGGACATAAAACAACAGATTTTTGTCTTATTAAATAGTGCAAAAAGTATTTATGTAAGGTATAATTTAAAGTTATGAACTTTGTTATTCTATAACAATTATGAAATAATCAATAATATGTTTATCTAAGAAGAAAGCAAAGCATAAAAAAGGCCTAGAACAGGACCTCCAAACTAAGATACACATATACATTGACACTATAAAATTGAGCTTTAAATGCTTAATCTGATTTTAGTGTTACCTTTAGAAATTTGCCAATTGAATTTTACACAATAAGTGCAATAGAGCACAATTACCACGAAATTTGGATCCTTGAAAACAGGAATTTTATCAGCTGTTTCTCCTGTATAGGTAGACGGACTATCTTCAGCAGTTTCTCCTGACATAACTACCTCCTCTATGGTATCCTGTGGGGTCATCACACCCGACGAGGGCTGCCAAAAAAAAAATATCAATCAACATATAGCTCAAATCAACAGCAAAATCTAAACATTTCACCAACTTTGAGAGTGAAAAAGCATGCATCTGTGACATAATGTACTTTCATCAGTTTTACATTCAAAGACAGTGTAATGAACATTTCTTTGGGAGTTAACAAAAGTTATATAAGTAGAGGCAGAGACCTAAATCTATGTAAGTCTGTCATACAGGTAACCCTTTTTTAAAATCATCTGAAAAATTATATGTCTCCAAGAATCATATACAAAAATAAAATTATGTCTTCTTAGGGGATAATGACTTCCATCACAATTGATGATTTTAGTCATGCACTTTGTCTTAAGGGTTTTTTTTCTGTTTCTTTTTAGTAAAACTATACATGAATTACGAAGCCTAATTGTTGAAGAAGGTGCTGAATATATATGTTACTGGGAAAGCATTTTTAAAGGAGTCCATGGTTTCTGAGTAAAAGGAAGATAGTTCCATATTTACCTATAAAACATGTAAAGCATATATTAACACAATATCAAAATTTAAATTTTAGTACAGTGCATATATGATGTACATTGAAGATGTTGTTGTCGGTTCTGTTTTAAACTTATAGAAGAATTCTTGGTTTTTTTTTTTTTTTCTTTCTAGTGAGTGTCCAAAGTGTCTTCGAAGGCATTTAGATTTGATGCAGATACTACACGACACCAGGTTTTCTTACTGTTATTAGTGAGAATTTTAAAGCGTTTTCCCATTTATATTGCAGATGTCTGTCGCCTGGGGTATATTTTCTTGGGGTTTCCTCTTCCGCCTTTTCATTGCGAGGCTCCCTCCAATAGTACAACAACACGACAGCATCCTTTTGTTTACTCCTATGTCATTCCTAGTATTCGGGAGTGTGCCAATCCTGGTGAAATGCACATCATCTGACACAGTAATTAACAGTCATACCGTTTCTCTTTGTTTTCCAACAAGTCTTAACAAAACATATTGCCGTCTGTATGCAGGCCCGTCCCGATTTCTGCAAGACATTCTCATATGTCAACTAATCGACTGGTCCGCATAGATGAAATCGGTCTAAAGTAAAAGTCGATTCGTCAAAACTGGAGACCCTATACTCAAGAAGTGGTCCATTTATTCGATTCAGTCGAAGTAAGACAAGACAACTACTTAGTCAGCTATATTTTGGTTTCATAATTGCAATGATATAAAAATATGAAGATATTACCGTCACTGGACGTTTTTTCTTTGCTGGAGTTGTAGCGGGGCTTGCATTTTTACTCTTCGCTGGTTTTCTGTTTCTGGTTGACGCCATGTTGATTCTGAGACGAAAGTGATCAAGGGACGTAACTGCGGTAATTTAAGGGAACCTCAGTCGTTGCTTGTCTATTTATCTTGGGCTTGATGAGATTTTTATAGACGTACATTACTATTTTAAGTACATTCATTGGTCCAAGATTAAATTATTTTTTCACTAAATATTGTTATGATTGGTATTGGAATTCGAAATAATTAAAATCACATCTACGATGGTCTATTTAAATATATCACAAAAATGTACATGTTATATATATTATCAGTTCAGCGAGTAAATCATAACTTCAGGAATACTTTTCTCTCTGGATTTTATCTTTCATTTTTGTTATATCATTGAGCAAAACAGTAACATCGCTTATTTTGTGGAATTTAATTATATACGATCGGGTGATATTTCAGTTGTAACAATAGCTCAAATACGCTTTTTGTCTTCAAAAAATATCTAAAGTGAACAGAAAGTATTTGTCACAAAAGTTAGCGAGATCAATTAGCAAAGTGCACTCATATAATAAAATGTGGTGTTTTTAATCATAAGATATTGTTGAACTAATTCTATAAAGCTAAATGACATCACAAATTCGACAGAATTAGATGTTCTAACGCTAATTCTATAAAGCTAAATGACATCACAAATTCGACAGAATTAGATGTTCTAACGCTAATTCTATAAAGATAAACGATATGACGAATTCGACAGAATTAGATGTTCTAACGCTAATTCTATAAAGATAAACGACATGACGAATTCGTTAGAATTAAATTATCGCTAACTTGAAAATGTTAATTCTACAGAGATAAATGATGACACGAATTTGTTAAAACATATTGTATTGTCGTTAAAGGATTGGGCACAAGTTACATGAATTCATTGTAAGGTTTCTTCTACATAAACGGTTGAGATCTTTACTTCTAATACACGAAGGTGACATCGTTATCGCTATGAATATTCAAACACTATACAATGTCGATAGATAGAACAAGAAATATCAAACCTGACTCAAATTACATTCTACAGTGTTTTTGAAACAAAATTATTGATATCACATTCGAATGAATAGAAAACTAAGCCCCATAGTGTTATATTCCATATAGTAACGATTATTTAATATGGATGAATTATGTTATTTACCATTTTGGTAGGTTTTGTTAGGTTGTCATCACACACCGGTATTCGATGTAGGTAGATGTCTGTTGAATTGTGATTTTATTTATTGAGTTTTAAATGTAATTGTGAATTCTGGAAGATAGCGTGATATCTGAATCGGTGCGATCAATAACTTGACAGAGTCATGTTAATGTATAACATATTTAATTTAGCATACTCTCATATCAGAATCAGTGATATCATTTTTATGGTATCGCGATACGCTCTATCTATTGGTATCACGTTACGATATTTTGGAACATTTACTTCAGGTTGGTAATGTCAATAGAATATATGTTTTATACAACACAACCAGCAAAAGCTTAAAGTGTCATGTTTCGATGACTACAAGGTCACATTCAATGAACTAGTGACCAGTGCGTGTCGTACCAGCACTGACTTGTGTAGTGAACAATAGAACTCCGCTTAGTTACTTAAGAAATTATAATTAATAATGCTACACATAAAATGATTTAGAGTAAACTTTTTATTTAGACTATTGCAGGTTGATATGTTTATAAGTTTTATCAGAAAAAAAATGCAGAACACGTCACAATGCAAATAAGATAAAAATCCCCATATAATAATATGATCAATGAAATAATAGCGACAGTACAGACAAGCGAATTGTCAAATGTTCGAGGCAACCTGCCCCTTTACCAATGTAACGTAATACAGTGGTTAACTATACATAGTGCTATAAGCAGTACCTGGCATTAATTAATATAATGCTTTGGTTCGGTTCAGATACCATACAGTTCCTGTGTATAGTAGTAGGTTCGTACATAGAACTGTATATACTGGTGTTGAGTAAAGAATAAATAAATGGCTCACAGTCAACACGAGTGTGTCGTCTCTCCGGGCTGGTCCTTACAAGACTGAACCCTCACAACGTGTTGAGAACACGTAACAACCAATACACAAATATTACGTAAATTACATTACATACATGGAACATAAAATAAATACAAAGTTATAAATCTAAATCGAGAGCGGTAGTGTAAAAGGTGTCTCGTTAATCCCTTCGGCCGGTGGACGCCGAAGGCCCTTTATAACGGACAAAAAGCCATCCCACGTTGTTGTATGGAAGATGGCGATTAAAATATCAGAAATGTTTTATATCAATCTCGGTATGTTCTGCACCCCAGACACTGAGTGCATATGTGATCGCAACGAAAACAATTGCATGTCACACTCCGAGGAAAGTAGTCTACCGGTACATCTCGGCCACATTCTAAATGAGGAATTGTTTGATCAAAAATAAGAAAATTTATTGTTTAAAAATAACAAATGCATGTGAAGTTACAATAAAAAGTAAATTGATAAAAAAAAAAGCATCAGTTAAATGCACAAATTATTTTGAATATGGTCAAATAGTCCTCAGATTCGTCTACTCGAAAAGTCGCCCCATAAAATTGAAAATATCCGGACTAGAGTCAATAAACGGCGCCAATCTCAAATAGGAAAGAAAGCAGAAATCGTAACTGGATAAATAAACAGTGCAAGAAATAGAGCAAGTATGCTTTCTTTCCTTTCCGCTTTTTTTCTGAAAGGGGGCATATATATGGTATATGGACATTTACCCAGACACCAGGTTTTATGTCCGCAAATTATGTCTACTATTTTCTTCTGCAGATTGATAAGACACCAGATTAACGTAATACGTCCATCAGGATGAATCTTGTAGTAATACAGATATAGATTTTTCCCTATACATACACGTATATGACGAGTAGTTTATCATGCAAATTGCTTCATACAACTTGTTTCGTCTTTTTCTTTTAGTTTAATCATATTTTATTGCCAAAATAAATTTGAACAAGGGAATTGGACACAAGTTATTACAACTTATTGGAGGCCTCTCCCATCATACATTTTCAAATACATGCTTATAAAGAGATAGACTTAAACATAAATTATACATATTAAGCATTCACACACAGACATAAATACATCATCGTATAAGAATCTTTTAAAACCTTTTGCTGGTTTTTAATGAAATTTTGCACATGTGTAAAGACAAAATAGTTAAGGTCCTCAGAAAGATCAATACTACCAAATAAAAGAAGCTCTAAATTCAAATCTACTTATAATTCAGCCAGATTTTGAAACAAAGTGCGTCTTTCATTTCTGAAAGTTTGACACTCAAAGAAGAAGTGAAAGGCATTCTCACAAGGATGTCCACAGGAGCACACTGGATTTTCAGCAAGATTTACTCGATAAAGATCGTATTTAAGGGAACTACAACTGTGTCTAAGTTTAGTATGTATTATGTTTAACTTTCGTTCACCATAACTAAAACAGATAGGTGGGGATTGTTGTGTATTTAAAGTAAGTGAGGTTTTTAAACAAATTTATAAAAGGCAGTGACCGTACAGAGAAATCTAACAAATTCCAGCTATGAAGCGTAGAAGGTATAAAAGAGAGGTTTTTAAGAGAAAGCCCAAATAGAGGAACTCTATAATCATTGTTATTTCTAAGATTGTACCGGTTATTATCTGCAACTATAGGTGGCAAGTCTTTTTCTGCGGGAGCGCATTTAGGACATGAAAGTAGTTTTATCTGTCATGGCGAAAATAACAATCTGCCAGTACAGAATTCCAAAATGCACAAACATAAAGCAATCTGCCCGCGGAAAATAATAATCTGTCATGCAAATTTAAAATCTGCCTAAAGAAAATAATTAAATCTGTCCGAGCAGATAATGAATGTAATCGGACAGGTTGTTAATCTGCCAGGGCAAATCGAGATTCTGCCCGGGCAGAAAAAAGTTATTTCACTATCGTGTTCTAAATGCGAATCAAGGTACCTCTACCCCTGAATGGTAGAAAGCTAATACCAAGTTCTTCTTATACTGCCCGGGCAGATTTAAATTGTTTTGACTGGACAGATTAATATTTTGCCAGGACAGAAAGAAAATATTTTTCTATCCTTTCCTAACTCCTAAATTACACTTCCGTATTTTTCAAACCGTTCCATCGTAAAAAATCAATAATTTACAGCAGTTTTGAAATATGTAGAGGACTACCTCCAGGTTCTGACAACACTAGTTGTAGTCCCGAGCCTGTTATGACATACTTAGGTAAAGGCTGAAAATCTGGAAAAAAAAAAAAACAGACAGCCAAAATCATGCACAGGATTATCCAAAGCAGCACAAGTCTATATCTTCTTAATAGAAATTAATTTACACAACAATATATATAAACTTAAAAAACTGGAAAACACGATGAGCTTATAAATATATATATATATAAAGAAAATTGTTTTAAAAAAAACACAAGAAAAAGTTAAGTTAGTATTTTCCATAACGTTTTCACAGCTTAGCTGCTCCTCAGTGCAACTTTTTCTGTGTGTGTGTTTAACAATTTTCTTTATATTATCACTTGCGTATCGTAACTATATAACTATATCATATATATATATATATATATATATATATATATATATATATGAAAACGTCTGCATTCTGATTATATGATGTGTAAGTCTGCATTCTGATTATATGACGTATTTATATATCTTTATATAAGCACACAGTGGTATATAAACTGTTCAAACACAAGACTGTTTATATACAGTATCTCAATGTTATTGGGTAAATGACTGTTAATATTGTGTTGATTCCTTTGCCTACCGATTATCATTTCCTCTACTTCCAACAATTATGAAGTTACATTTCAAACAATGTTGAAAAATACACACACGCTCTCATTTGCACGTAGCAATTCCGTTAAATAGAATATATACATATACAGCACACGCAACAACACACTGTCATAATAACTGTACAATTACAGGAAATCATTCGGAAAGGATTCTTAATCTTCCGTAACCAAATTCATTTCATGTGTCTG